CTCTCCAAGGCGGCTTTGCTCGGGTGTCCCTGGTCTGCTGGGGGGGTCCAGCGGCTTTGCTGGACCCCCCCCCCGCAGACCAGGGAGACCGGGAGAAGCTTTTCTCGCCCCGGAGGACACAGGTGGCGACCCGCCACCCGTGAGCTCTGGGGCGAGAAAAGCCCCGTTCATAAGTGCGGATCCGACATAAGTCGGATCCACGTAAGTCGGGGACTGCCTCTGTATAAAAATCTCAGAACACATTAACTCCTCATGATTTTTGACTGAATTACAATTTTGGAAAGTTTCATATTGATGATACCTATCACGTCTCAAGTCATCTTTTGTGTAATCTATTATCCAAACTTGTACAAACCGAATTAATCCAGAATAAGTGCGGATCCGACATAAGTCGGATCCACGTAAGTCGGGGACTGCCTCTGTATAAAAATCTCAGAACACATTAACTCCTCATGATTTTTGACTGAATTACAATTTTGGAAAGTTTCATATTGATGATACCTATCACGTCTCAAGTCATCTTTTGTGTAATCTATTATCCAAACTTGTACAAACCGAATTAATCCAGAAAGACGTTTAGCCCTTGATTTTACCAAATGTTCAACAGGGGCATAGCACTGCATTGATTTGTAGGAGGAACTAGGTCAGAACATAGAGAACAACTAAATTGAATTAAATGAAAGAATGAGCAAAATCTTTATAGTTATTTTAAAACAAAGTAATGGGGGGGGGAAATAAATCACATGGAATTTATGTACATGTAATGTAGAAGGTCATCAATGAATAAAAATATATATTGTACTAATTGTCAACATAAATTCTTCTGAGTTTTTATTTATTTTACTTAATATACTTAATGTAAGTATTGTACTATTGTCTTGATATAAATGTATGTATGTATGTGTGTGTGTGTGTGTGTGTATATATATATATATAATTTGCTGTAGCAAAAATTAAACATTAACATGTAATACAACCCTGTTTTTTATAATGAAATATGCAGCATTAACGACAAACCTGAACGCAGAGACAGACATCAAATGAAGAGAGAATAAAACTGTTAAGAAAGATCAACTTCAGGAAACACAGAGCACAGACAAAGACTATTGTGAGAATTTTTCCATGGCTGCTGGTATAATACCAGTTGCATCACCAAAGGAGGATTATAAATATACCAAGGCCAAAGAGTTATCCTACAAGCTGCCTGCAGTCTCCCAAAGCACCATTTTTTCCAGCTTCTACATCCAGCTTTCTTTAAAAAACATTGTTACCTTTTGTAACAGTGAGCCAGGCAGACTGGTTGGCCTCCCCTATATAATTGGAGACCTTACAAATATATTCTCCAGCGTCCGCCTCTGTCACATTGTACAGCGTCAGCACTTCAGCATTGGAACTATTTATCCCCGAATGCTAGAATAGACCAATAACATAGGAGAACAATGTAACTGCTGCCCAATATGGACATTATTCTGTTTATGGTCCCACCACCAATACTCCACGAGAACATCTCTTCCATTTAGTGTCAATACCAGTGTCAAAATATTGGTTTGGGGGGTGTTTTTCTTTTAAGTAGAAGTAATTAAGAGGAGTTATTAATAGAATGGGGGGGAAGTGAGCACAGAGCTGGCATATTAATTACATGGAATAACATGGTATACAGCTGGTTGGATTCTTGGCATTGCCAACCAGTTTGGAAAACTTCGTAACGGAGAATATCCTTAAACGAACTTCCTTAGAATTCCTGCCAAGAAGAATAACCTTGTGCCATTGATATGTCACATCAAGTTGATGAAAAATGGACATCTCTGAAGGCTCTTCGTGCTGAGAACCCAGCAGTGCCAACAGACATTGGCAGCAGATCTCATCATTACTATGGGGCCTTTGAAATGAAGAGGCTCGAGAAATGTGAGAGAGAGTAGATTGTCTTTGGTTTGCTTTGGATGATCTCTACAAATAAATATCCTTGATGTTCTTTTAGTGGCTTTTCACTTCTTTGTATAAAACATGCATACATTATTTGAGAGATAAATGGATTTAAGAAATCGTGAAAAAACAACAGACTATCCATAAGCTAGCGCAATTAGCATTTAAACTAGCAAATTTCAACACAGTATTGCATTTGTAAGATAATGCACTTTTTTTTTAAGTTAATCTGTTTGAAAACAGAAGACCCAATCTCAAAATTCTTGGATTCACAGAACATATATTCCATGCTCCAAATAACCACTTGAATGCTGGAAAGACTCACCTTTAAAACTTGAAGATATGGTAATCCATCTGGCCCATATTTACTGCCGTTCTTCTCTACATGTTTAATCCACTGAATATGAGGCTGAGCATCACTGTACACTTTACAGACAAACTCCACATCACCCCCAACTACTGCGGAGGCATTTGCTGGTAGGCCAGCTTGGAGAATAGGCCTGTGTGGTGATCGTTCTGTTGGAGAGAGGGAGTGAGAGAGAGAGAAAAAAATAAAGATGCATAAATAAATAAGCAGTGCTGCCAAAAACACTGTTAGTGAACTCAAGCCAGAAAGCCCTGTAAGCCTGTTGGCTGACTACTCTGAAATAACTCCGCAGCCAAAACGTATAACAAAAACTACACTTCAAAGGAAATCACTTGAGTAGTACACTTGTAGTACAAAGAATACCCATTTAGAAGGGGGGGAAAAAGAGGTCGCTTAACAAAATTTACATTTATTTCCAAGGTTGGGCCACCTATAAAAAGGAAAAAGGAAAATAAATTTAACTTTACAGTTCAGCATAACAAGAGCTTTTGAGTTTATTTATTTTACTTAACATAAAACCAGAAAAAAAGTTTTATCACTTTATAAAATTAAATACTCATTGCCCTAAAATCAATGAAGTTATTACAGGCATTATTAAAACAGCTGCCTAGGTATCAAACTTTTGGCATTACATGAACAAAAATTAAGTTGACTTTTGAAATACAGTGAACAAAAGTAATCTTTTATCAACCACAGCATCAGAAATACCAAAGTTGGTTCCTATTCTCAGTATGGCTTAGGGGGGTAAGGAATTATCTTCAATACCATGATGGATATACTATCAGTTAACTGTTACTTCAATAGTCTGTGAACCTACAAAAGGAGTCCATATGCTACTGTGACTAGCAGATATTTGTTGTCGAATAGGTGAAGATTTGGGATGAAATACTGGTTCCATTTATGTCAGTGGGTGTTTTGCCATTCTGTGCCACAAAGGTAGGATTTCATTCTTGGAGCCTGCTTCTGAATTCTTCATGGGCACAGACCCTAATTTTGCACCCACTGGAGTCAATGGTACAGGATCAGCCTCTCAAAGCTTTCATTGGCTGTTCTTGTTTTGGGTGGACAAGGAACTCTGGGAAAGCTTAAAATCATTCCACCTAACTATAATGTAAGTGAAAGTTTCCATAACAACAGCCCTGCAAATTGAAGTCTCCTGATTAACCACACATAAGAATTGGTAGGAGCAATGAAAACTTCCTCACACTACATCATTAAACTTCCTCAATTTTGAGCAGACTACAACTGAATGTAGTACAATCTCCATCTCCATCCCTCCTTTGCCCTTTCTTCTGAGATGAACAGTAGTTCCAAGGGAACTAACCGTGAGAGAACTTATTGTAATCTGGATACCTACTGCAAATCAAACTAAGACCAGCCACTCACTTCCTGTAAGTAACTAAATAATTTCCATCGACTACTCAATAGGCACTTCTACATTCCTCCTTCGAAATGTACAAGAGCCCCAACAAGAGGAATGCGGAACTCCGCACAGCCCGGGGCCAGCGGGAAGTCCTGCTGACTCTGGGCTGTTCGCTGGTGCCTGCTTTGAAATGTACAAGAGTCCCCAGTGGGGGCTCATGTGCATTTCAAAGCCATGGAGCCTGGGGTCAGAGGGGGACTCCACAGATGACATCAATTCCATGCAGCTGGGGACTCCGCAGCTGACCCCACTTCTGTGCTGCATGCCTTATCGGATAGTCAACTAGTCCTTAACATCCCTACATCAAATTTGAACCCATGAATTAGAAGTGAGAGTCATACTGACAAATCTCCATAGCCATCCAAAGCTCCTTCAAAACATTTTATTAAAAAACAAGAAAAGAATAATGGACCTAAATATTTACAGAGGCACCGTGTTATAAGAACTTAAAAGTTATAAGCCAAATCAACTGAATTTCAAATCAAGTGTTCGTTCTTAAACATACTAATTTCCAATAAATTGTTTCACAAGCAAACATTGTTAGTGTAATAGCAAATAACGATGTCCACTAAACAATGGGATCTTTCATACAGTCCAATATATTTGGCATGCTGCAAGCATCTACTAGGAATTTATTCACTGACGCAACACTGGCAGTGTACTACAAAGGGGCCGTCTTGTTTTCCTTTTGGAAAAAGTGCATTTGCATTGCAGTTACTAAATTATTTTATTTTCTAAAGCCTAGGAACAGTTTAATATTTTTAATTGGTAAATTACAGTAGAATGTATAAATTACTATTTTATAGTCCTGGCGAGAACTTATAAAGTTTCTCACCTTATACTAAGTAGGGTCTAATTCCATGTTCCCCTGCTCCTTCTTCTATATACAGAAACAACAAGCATGATCTGCCTTTAATAGAAACCTTACACCATCTTCCAAAACTTATTACAGCTGCCTTCGGTATAAAATGAAACCTTAGAGAATGTTATTTAAAATGTTTTTTAAAAGTCAGTAGGCCTCATGTTTCATTTCTCCACATCAGGATTTGATTTCCTTTGCGACCTCACTTTCTGCCCTTAAACAAACCAGAGAATAAGGCCTGAAACATCTTGGAAAAGTTCCTACCACACCAGCATCAACACACAAAACATGTTTCATTTATCTCAATAGCCATCAATAATTTAATTTTTTTATTGATCACTGCCAACCTTCCCCCCCCTAAAACCAGCCAAGTAAAGACGTAAAAGCAATGTTTACACTTCTGCTCCCAAATTCCTAAGAGTCAGGTCAAATGGGGGGAAAGCATTTATGAAATTTCCTCTTGCTATGTCATTAAATGTATTTAGGTTAAATGAATTAAAAACAAATTAAAGTTGGCACACTCGAAACCAAACTGCTGATCAACTCCTATTCATCTATTTACACCGGACAATACAGAACTATACAGATTTAGAACTCATCTCAGACTTTTCACAGTTTAAACCCTGCTCATGCCACTTGTTTCACACAATGCATGTTTCCTCACTGAAGCTGAGCTGAGGTCCCTGAGGCTCTGTGTAAATCCTGGAGTCTATGTGCATTAAATAAGGTACAAGATTGGGGCCTTAGATAATTACTTCTCATGAAACGCAACATTTATTAACTCGGAAAAAGAAAAAAAACATGGAAAATTAGTATAATCAGAAAATTGCGACTATGTTGCTGATTATACTTCTGTGTAAAATATTTTTGGGAACAGTCTCCCGCAGACTGCTAAAATTTCATATGCTGTGCAAAAATTATTCAAAGAGAATAATTATTCAAAATTATTTGAAGAGACTGTGCATCTTTATATGTCCTCTCAGATCTTGTGTGTGACTTCCAGGTCAACATGTGTATTTAAACTATAGGCCTTACATTAGTATATTACTATCCCCATGTTGACAGTTGCTTTTCTAATAACTTGAGGCTACTAAATTTGCTTAATAAAGACAGACAAAAGAGTTGAAGGTCTCTCTTTAAAAATATTCCTCAAGTTAACAGGCACTAATACTGAAATAAAGTGCTTATCTGATGGATGCTTAAAACTGTAGATTTATCTTGTATAATCTAACAATTGTAGAGAAACTAAATTATGGAGAATTGCATACCTTTTTAAATAATTTTACTCAAAATATTTTGATAAAACTAACTTGGTCCCAATTGTCCTTTCAGTTATTCTAGCTTCACACTGCTATCATTCCACTCATTTCGGTATACCTCCTCCATTTACACCAGTGTGAGAGAGAGGTGAATCGGGCCTTTGGGAAATAAATCTTTGCTAATTGACTAGTTAAATTTTATAGTGCTCCATTCCCACTGCTAACATAACATGTTTGCGAAAAACAGGCCAACATCGTCTGCCATATTATGGGGGGGAAGTTCTAACGAGTAAAAAGATGTCCTAATGTTTTCAGGCATACTAAACACTTCCAAGCATTTCTAGCACCATAAAAGTAATTAGGCACTTGTTTTATTCCAACACATTTTACTCAAACCCTCCGATATTTAATTACTAAAAAAAATTCTTATTTACAAGGTATTTCAAAGATCAATTCTTCTTTAACTTTTTTTTAGCAACTCACATTACATGGCTTCGAAATAATAAAATATATTTTCTCTAAAATGACCTAGAACTAGTTAAGTCAAATGCTATAAAATATAAATTTGAGAAAAAAACATGCTAAATTTTACTTTCCTTCTAATTCCTCTTGAATTCAAACACTCTATTATTTTACAAATAGAAAGCATGGTTCACTTTTGGTAGACATGGAGCATGTAGAGACAGATAAATAGCTCCAAGTTTAAAATAAATTCTAAAACAAACAAACAAACAACCTATTTCCCCTTCCAAAGAAGTAGGTTTCTGGTCAATATCTAAAGACTCAGTCAATCACTAGAATTCAATTGCTTCCTTTACAAGAGACAGAGGCACAATGATTGTCAGTGTAGGTAATGTCAGATTTCAAACTAAGATATCTAAATTATATACAGTACCAATATATAAATATGTTCAGGGTTTATTTTCCCCTGACCAGTTTTTGGATTGTTTAAATCAAAGTGTATAATAAAATCAACATTTGAAAGGATGGTGGTTTTAAACAAAATTGGCAAACAAAAATCCCCATCAATTTTTAAGAAGTGGTCATAATTTAACAGATGCATTATTGAACTGATTAACATTAAAGCATCAGGCCAGATTGCCTTCCTCCAGCAGAGAAATCTGCAGAAGGGAGCCAGGAAGGTCAGAAAATTCCACAAGATTAACCTTGTAGAGTTTCCTGCAGAGAATCACTTTAGAAGGCAGTTGGCTGGGAAATGAGACCTCCCAGGCCCTGTAGAACCTAAGGCTCTGGGCAAGAGAGTGGTGAGGATTCAGGAATTCTTCCTTCCACAGAGGAATAGAGACTGAGCTGCCACGGATTCTCTTTCTTCGCTGGACTTGCAATCAACTGAGTGCCTATGCAGCTATTATGTAAGCACCTTTATTTTCAGTAAGGTCAGTCACCTGCTAAACATGTCTTATTAATTACAAGTTGCAGAAGAGAATTAGGTCAGTGTCTTTTCAAAGATCTTCCTAAACTCATTCATTAGTCTTTCTTCCCCCCGCCCCCATTTTCCAGCCTCGTACCTCAACCACACATTTGCAAGAGGAAGATACAAGAATTTTTTTTTTAAATCCATGACTATAGAGCCTTAAGCAAAAA